AGTACACGCTCTGGTCACATCCCGCCTTGACTACTGCAACGCTCTCTACGTGGGGCTGCCCTTGAAGACGGCCCGGAAGCTTCAGCTAGTCCAGCGCGCGGCAGCCATGTTACTAACAGGAGCGGGACGCAGGGAGCACACAACGCCCTTGTTGTTCCAGCTCCACTGGCTACCGATCTGCTACCGGGCCCAATTCAAGGTGCTGGTGCTGGCCTACAAAGCCCTAAACGGTTCCGGCCCAAAATACCTTTCTGACCGCATCTCGGCCTATGAGCCCACGAGGACCTTGAGATCGTCTGGGGAGGCCCTTCTCTCGATCCCGCCTGCCTCACAGGCACGTCTGGCGGGGACGAGAGATAGGGCCTTCTCGGTGGTGGCCCCCCGGCTGTGGAACGCCCTCCCTGCAGATATCAGACAGGCGCCCTCCCTTATGGCATTCCGCAAGAGCCTAAAGACATGGTTATTTGAGAAGGCGTTTAACTAAGTGCTACAACAATTGGCAATGATGATCAGAACGGAATATGGATAACGAGTTTGGTTTATGATTCTACGATGAGACGGCGCGGATGATTTAGTGTAATTGTATTTTTGATAGTTATGTTGATTTTGTTGTGATATTGCCTATTGTAAACTGTTTTTATATGTTGTACACCGCCGTGAGTCGCCCTAGGGCTGAGAACAGCGGTCAACAAATGCAGTAAATAAATAAATAAATAAATAAATAAATAAATATAAAACCATAAATGGTTCCGGCCCAGTTTACTTGTCTGAATGCATCTCCTTTGATGAGCCAGCTAGGAGGTTAAGATCATCTGAGGAGGCCCTGCTCTTGGTCCCTCCTCTTTCTCAGGGGCAGTTTGTATGGATGAGAGACAGGGCCTTCACAGTGGTGGCCCCTCAGTAACTGAACTCCCTCCCTAACAAAATTAGATCAGCCCCCTCCCTCCTGACCTTCAGGAAAAGGCTAAATATGTGGATGTGGGATCATGCATTCAGTTAGTGACCCATTAGAGAACTATGGAATAGTGCAATGACAATTTGGAATGGCCATGGACATTGGATAATGTGATTTTAAATAATGTTTAAAAGTTTGATATGTTGGTTTTAATGATCATTTTAATATATCTGTTTATTTTACTATATATGGGTGTTTACATGGCATCGAATCGTTGTCTATACATGTAAGCTGCCTTGAGTCCCCTACCGGGTTGAAAAAGGTGGCGTATAAATAGAGCAAATAAATAAATACATAAATTTCTTCTCATTGGTTTTCTTCACTATCCAGTTTTCTCAACCTTACATAGAAATGGGGAATACAATGGCATGGACAATCACAACCAGGAAGCAAATGATTTAATGAGTCTGGTTAGGTTTACTAACAGGGTTCAGGTCAACAGTTCTGGGCTAAAACCTGAGTTTTGTGCAAATTATTGTTTGCACAGGTGTCAAAGGAATGCAACAAAGCAAATAGCTCTGGCATCTTGATCAAATACCAGACTTGAGATTTCTTGAGGAGGCTGGAGAATCCCCAAGGACTGGGCTCTCCATGTTGACACAGCACGGCTAAACTCAGAATGTAAGCAAGAGTAGACTAACAAGATAGCGTCACATCCTTATCCAAAATCTAGGGTTGAAAATGCAGACAGATCAACAGGATGGATGCTGTCAACAAGCCACATGTTGGGTTTTCTAATTGCCTTCTCATGCTGGCACTTCAAATGACCCCTACTTCCTCACAGTGTCTCCTGAACTGTTTCTTACATAACCATTTCCTTTTTTGAATTTTTTTTTTGGCCCCAGCCAGCCATGCACAGTCACATGGAAACATATGGCCGTACTATTGACTTTCTAGCTAATTCTGACTTTTGATCTATACACCACACTGATTCTGACAGTGCATAGTTGCTCATTAGAGCAAGTATATTGAGTTTACATCCATCAGAAGCCTTGAACTGCATAAGAATTGGAGCTTCACACCAGCAAAAATTTCACATGGGGCCAAACAACACAAGAGTATTTCAAGACGTCAACAGTTGTCAGTGAGGAAGAACATCTATGTTCAGAGAGGATGTAGAAGTTTCCTCTTGTCTAAGCTTATTGGGAAGGGCAACATCCCATCCTTTCCTGTCCCTTTCTGCAGAGTTAATCGAATGCAAACTGCTTTCTGAATTCACATTTCAGCAAACTGGGGACAAATGAGAAAGGTGGAGGAGGAGAGAGAAACAGGAACATTTCAAAAGCAGATGAAAAAGTGGGATGATAGAGGATTAATTAGAACTGTCAAATCAGAGCAGTTGGAGAATGTACAGCTGGGATGTTAAACCCATTTTCATTGAGGGCTGCATCAGCCTTATAGTTGCCTTCAAAGGGTTGTTGAATCCATGGATGGAGAATCCATGGATAGAGAGGACCAAGTATAATTTTTTAGACAGTGGTCAGTGCTCTTTAGTTTTTACCCAGTTTAGGTGCCCAGATGTTATTAAATGACACCTCCCCTCACTTCTGATTATCCACCATGGAATTAGGGATAATGGGAATTGCAACCCAACAGCACTTGTGGTTCTGAGGTTGAGAAAAGGTTAAGGGACATTTTAATGTCAGACATCATATCCTCAAGCCTTGTCTCTGAATTTAAACCTTACTATCCTGATGAAGTAGAAGAAACAGCAGCCTTCTACATGTTATTGTATTACAACTCCCACAGCTCCACAGCTCTAATGATGTCAAATGATGAAGAATGCAGGAGTTGTAGTCCAACATCTAGAGGGCCACATCAATAATAATAATAATAATAATAATAATAATAATAATAATCCTTTATTTGTACCCCGCTACCATCTCCCGAAGGACTCGGGGCGGCTTACAAGAGGCCAAGCCCAAATGCAACAGTAAAAACAACAACATCAACAATACAGCAAAATAACTAAAAAAACAAAAACAAGGCAATAACATTAACAACACACAATGATGCAATTAAAATCTATGGCAGGGCCAAATGTGGGAGCCCCGGTGATGCAGTGGGTTAAACCCCTGTGCCGGCAGGACTGAAGACTGACAGGTCGCAGATTCACATCTGCGTCACCGGGGCTCCCACATTTGGCCCTGCCGGGGAGAGGGCCAAATGTGGGGGAGAGGTGGATGAGCTCCCTCTATCAGCTCCAGCTCCTCATGCGGGGACATGAGAGAAGCCTCCCACAAGGATGATAAAAACATCAAAAATCATCCGGGCGTCCCCTGGGCAATGTCTTTGCAGACAGCCAATTCTCTCACACCAGAAGCGACTTGCAGTTTTTCAAGCCGCTCCTGACACGACCAAAAAAAGAAGGGCCAAATGTAATAATTAAAATTAAAAAGTGCTGGGCATGACCAGGTGAGGCGTTTGGAGGGGAATGGGTATGCAGATATCCTGGATCTCTGATAAAGTGTGTTGGGGACATAATGCTTGGAGTTTCCTTATTCTGGGAAGGCACACATGGTGGTCCGGATCCGGCCTGCAGCATTTGAGTTTGACATGTGAAATAGGAGTTGGGGTTGATCCCTTCCTCTCAATGCCCCTATTCATGACAGTGAACATCTCAAAGAACACAGGTACCCTTAACTGAACGGAGTACCATATATACCTGAGCATAAGCCAAGTTTTTCAGCCCCTTTATAAGGCTGAAAATGCCCCCTCCCCCCCGGCTTATACTCAAGTCAAGATTATTTATTATTTTACTCTGTTACTATTCTTTTTATTACATTTATTATTTTACTCCTCTTATTATTGTTATTATTAAATTTATTATTTTACTCTATTTATTATTATTATATTTATTATTTTACTCTATTATTATTATTATATTTATTATTATCTATTATTTACATTATTTCACTCTATTAATTTTTATTACATTTATTATTTAATGCTATTTATTATTATTTTTACATTTATTATTTTATTATATTTATTATTATTGCATGTATTATTTTATTATATTTATTATTAGTAGTATTACATTTATTATTTACTCTATTATTACTGTTATTACATTTCCATTATTTTACACTATTATTATTAGTATTCAAAGGATAGATAAGCACATTGAAGAAGGTTAGATTAATGGTTTAATCAGAGTTAGACAATTTTATCTTAAATCACAGTTTTATGTAAATATTCAAAAACAGTAAACTTACAGATGCCTCAATTAATGTAATATTATTGAAATCTTTTTTTATTTTGAAATTTACTAGTAGCTGCTTCATTTCCCACCCTCGGCTTATACTCTAGTCAATGCTTTTTCCCAGTTTTTTGTGGTAAAATTGGGTGTGTCGGCTTATATACAAGTATATACGTAATAAAAGGAAATGTAGGTTGGGGATGGTGAAGTATTAATTTAACAAAAGGATATATAACTCAACCTACCAAAAATATCCACTAGGCAGTTTACAAAGTCAAATTATACACACACACACACACACACACACACACACAAACTGCAATACTGCAATCACACAATCATGGCTGTATTTATCTCAATGCTAATGACATTTCCTAGCATGTAGATTTTCCTATAAGAAAATAACCGAACCCCACTCTACACTTTTACTATTACATAAATCCTTGGACTCTGGATCCATGAGTCTTGTATGGAGATCATCACCCCCATACTATTAAATGGCAGTGACATGAATATGTTGAAGTGTGCACATTGATGTTGCCAACATTTAATAATATGGGACATGATAATTTGCTTTTTTGTCTGATCTGTGCAGTGTCCTGGGATTGAACCGCCATGGATAGAGTGGGCCCACTGCAAAGCCAGTTTTGAATATGATGCAACCCTACTGGTTTCTCTCTTGGACTCATGGTAATTGCTTTGGTAATTGCAACGCTTTCTCCGTTTCGTAATTCAAGCCAGGCTGGCTGGGGGATTCCTGGAGCTGTCGTCTAGAAAGAAGGTTCCTCAAGCATTGTTCTCAATCAAGGAGGATCCTTCATCTGCAAGGTTGTGGTTACTTACCAGACTTTCTTCTTAAGTCGCTCCCTGTTTCGGAGAAGTTGCAGAATGGCTTCTTCTCCATAGGCGTGACCACAGACTTTATTCCTGACTGGGTTCATCATCTCATTCTGCAATAATTAATAAGGCTACATTAGACTGTCCAAATCAAGATCTACACCACCAGCAACCCATCATCCCAGCAGAAATGGAACGCCACCAAAGGGTGGTGACTTTATTAAGCCCTGTCAATGAATGTAGTGATTTATGGCATGAGATATCCATCAATACAAACATATAGACAGGCCTCTGGTGCAGAGAGCTTCCGTTCTAGAGCTAGACAGGAGGAGGAAATATTAGGACTGAAGAGGCCAAGCTAACAAAGAAAGGAAGATGTAGGGCAAGAGGATGCTAAAGTTAGAAACTAGGAACGAACATATAAATGCTCATATCTTTTCTTACGTTGAAATAATAATTATTGTATTCCTTTGCTTGGTTTCGTTGGATATGTGTCCTGCTTTTCTCCAAATATGGAACCCAAATCAGTTTACAATATATGTCAAAACAGAAAGGAACAATCAGGCCAATTGAAGCACCAATTTTAAGACTTGTTTAAAATACCGTAATTAAAATACATGTTACAAATTAAAAACTGCATCCTCCATGCATCGTTTGACTCCAGCATTGACTGAATATTGGGTTTTATTTATTTATTTAAAACTTTGTATCCCGATCTTCTCTACCTCCGTAGAGGGACTCAGACCGGCTAACAGCAAGTATTCAATGCTCACAAACAAAACCTTTTAAAACATCATATATAAACAATAAGCTTAAAATACATATCAGATAAAATGGATAATAAGCCCTATGAAGAGCGGCTTAAAGAGCTGGGCATGTTTAACCTGCAGAAGAGAAGGCTGAGAGGAGACATGATAGCCATGTATAAATATGTAAGAGGAAGTCACAGGGATGAAGGAGAAAGCTTGTTTTCTGCTGCCTTGGATACTAGGACGTGGAACAATGCCTTCAAACTACAAGAAAGGAGATTCTATCTGAACATTAGGAAGAACTTCCTGACTGTGAGAGCTGTTCAGCAGTGGAACTCTGCCCCGGAGTGTGGTGGAGGCTCCTTCTTTGAAGGCTTTTAAACAGAGGCTGGATGGCCATCTGTCAGGGGTGCTTTGAATGCAATATTCCTGCTTCTTGGCAGAATGGGGTTGGACTGGATGGCCCATGAGGTCTCTTCCAACTCTATGGTTCTATGATAAAACATTCGCCAGGATAAAAACAACGTCCAACTCAGTCTGCACATTGTGGTCAATACTTTAGTCAATTACCAGTCTCAGCCATCACTCTGCAAATGCCTTGTTCCACAACCAAGACTTCACTTGCTTCCTAAAGGTCAGGAGGGAGGGGGCAGATCTAATTTCATTTGGGAGAGAGCTTCATAGCTCAGGGAGGGCCAACACAGAAAAGGCCCTGTCTCTCGTCCCCACCAAACGCGACTGCAAAAGTGGTGGGACTGAACGCAGGGCCTCTCTGGAAGATCTTAACATCCTTGATTGTTCGTAGGGGAGAATATGTTCGGACAGGTCGTAGGGGAGAATACATTTGGACAGGTATTGGGATCTTTCATAGCTCATACAATTACCGTTAATCCCGTCCATCACTCTTCGCTTAAGCATGAACTTCTTTTTGAAGGTGACTATTTCCAGAAGGCAACACTTATCAAAAGTATTCCATTCTGAACTTTGACTAAAATAGGTGATGAGGTATGGAAAAGAGACAAATAGACCACCCACAATGCAGAATTATAGTGATTCAACAACGCTTTAACTACTACCTTTCTATCATATGAAATCCTAGAATTTGTAGTTTATTTTGGCACCAGAGCTCTGTATCTCACAAAATGACACATCCCAGAATTCAATAACACTGAGCCATGGTAGTTTGTCAAACTGCTATAACGCTGCAGTGTGGAAACAGTCAAAGTCTTAGGCCCCATCTACACTGTCATATAATCCAGTTTCTGAATCCAAATTATATCTGCTTTGAACTGCTTTGTAGATCTAGCCTTAGAGCGTTGAGGAAGACATGATATTCTTCTTAAAACAGATGATCAATCACCAGGCATCATCTTTAGAGACATTCCTTTTAAAATCCCAAAACTTGAATTAAAAGTTAAGAAATATTTAATGCTTCAAAATATGGAGCAAAGTAATGACGAGCCTGGAAATTGTCAACATATCATTTCTGAGATCTCAGCAGCACATGTGACCTACCTGTGTGATGGGGCAGATGAAGTTCATCTGACTTTGTGTCACCGCAATATCCTCATCAACCAGTTCAAGGTCTGGGATCTCTTTCGGATCGGAATGGACACCAACTATAATATAAAAAGATGGAGAAAAGGCCATTCAATAAGGGCATGGCTACTAACACTAAAGTAGTCAGTGTTATTATAAACATATTTTTATCTATATGCCTAAATTCAGATTTATTTTGTTCTTTTTAATATATTTTTTCTAACACCAAAAAATAGCAAATGTAAATAAAAACTATTCAAAAAATTGCTGAAGAGGATGCCAAAAATTGGGAACATATATACATATGTGGTGGCAGTGTAAATATGTAAATAATTTTTGGGGGAAAGTATATGTTATAGTTTTTATTATATGTTATGTTTTTAATTGTATTTATGGTATTGTAGGCATTGAATTTTGCCCTGTAATCTGCCTTGAGTCGCCTGCAGGCTGAGAAAAACAGGATACAAATATAGTAAATAAATAAATAAATAAATAAATAAATAGAGAGGGATAGGATATAATGAATATTGAAAGAGAAATAAGTCCTAGTATAGCTTTATTATCATTATATAATGGAGCCCCCAGTGGCGCAGTGGGTTAAACCCCTGTGTCGGCAGGACTGAAGACCAACAGGATGTAAGTTCGAATCCGGGGAGAGGCGGATGAGCTCCCTCTATCAACTCCAGCTCCTCATGCAGGGACATGAGAGAAGCCTCTCACAAGGATGATAAAAACATCAAATCATCCGGGTGTCCCCTGGGCAACATCCTTGCAGACAGCCAATTCTCTCACACCAGAAGCGACTTGCAGTTTCTCAAGTCACTCCTGACACGACAAAAAAAATCATTATATAATAATAAACAAGTGGGGGGATGGGAGGACAAAGATGCGATAACAAACTTATTAACAATAGCCAGACTGCTTAGAGCAAGGAATTGGAAACGGGAAAAATAAATATACAAATAGAAGAGTCGTATAAGGAAGTATGGAAATTGGTAATAAATGACAAGCTGACATCTAAATTAAAAGTTAAAAGAGGGATCTGGAAACAAAGTGATTTTGATGATGTATGGGGAAAAAATATTGAAAGAACATTTAAAAATATTGAAAGAACATTTAAAAGTTCTGAGAGTGCCTTGGACTGCGAGAAGATCCAATCAGTCCATCCTCCAGGAAATAAAGCCCGACTGCTCATTGTAGGGAAGGATACTAGAGACAAAGTTGAAATACTTTGGCCACATCATGAGGAGGAGAAAGTTACCTCCACGAGAGGAAATGAAATTTGGGACAGAGATATATAAAAGGAGTGGCTCAGGGGGAGGGGAACACGGTTGTGAGGATAGAAAATATGTTTTGTTGTTGTTCATTCATTCAGTCGTCTCTGACTCTTCGTGACCTCATGGACCAGCCCACGCCAGAGCTCCCTGTCGGCCGTCACCACCCCCAGCTCCTTCAAGGTCAGTCCAGTCACTTCAAGGATGCCATCCATCCATCTTGCCCTTGGTCGGCCCCTCTTCCTTTTGCCTTCCACTTTCCCCAGCATAATTGTCTTCTCTAGGCTTTGCTGTCTCATGATGTGGCCAAAGTACTTCATCTTTGCCTCTAATATCCTTCCCTCCAATGAGCAGTCGGGCTTTATTTCCTGGAGGATGGACTGGTTGGATCTTCTCGCAGTCCAAGGCACTCTCAGAACTTTCCTCCAACACCACAGCTCAAAAGCATCGATCTTCCTTCGCTCAGCCTTCCCTAAGGTCCAGCTCTCACATTCGAAAATATGTATAAGCATGAAAATAACAGTAGATGCCAAAAGTTAATGTATTATAGATTCTACTGAATATTATGTGTCCCTACTCTGCACTGTTTAACTGAGACAGAATTACATCCTATTTTCAAGTCCAGAAGTGGACTTATGGTCACGTCTGTCCCTTCATCCCAATTTTTTAGCAAGCCGTATGTTTCCCCACCTCCCAAGGCGTCCCCAGAACAGCAAAATAGTCTGTGGATCTACACATTATTCATCTGCGTTCTATGTAAGTTTCTTAGGAAAAGAAATTTAATCAAACTTTAGCCATGTGATGTATGCAAAGCAGTAAATTGGTCCATGAAGGTGTTAATCCCAATTCCAGCTCTACCTTGAAGCAACTTTGATAAGAGGCAACGGGGGCATTTTTGCAGCTGGTGAGCAGGTTCCAAAGCTGCAAAGAGGGCAGCTTCAGCTCTGTCGTAAGTATAACATTATCCATATGTTTCTGACATTATAATTAGTCCCTCTGGATCCGTACACGTGGGCCTTTTCAGCTGCTCACCAGATGGAGGCAAGCCCTAGATTAAGCCAGAGGTATCTGTGTCATCTCCCTTCCACAATTTTTATGATCATTTTAGCCCCAAAATAGCTTCGTATAATGCAGCACTAAATAGAACGATGGAAACTTCCAGGACTGTCGCAGCAGGTCCTAAATAAAGATACACACGACTACAGCGTATTTCGGGCTATCAGCAGAATTGACACACCGTGCTCTTTCCTTCAAATTTTATTCATATGATATTTTTTAAAGGAATGTAAATGGCTATTTTGTCCAGTGCAAATTAAGAATTGCCTCTGGTGACCTACTAGGACATTGGGGAGGGGGGGGGATCTGAGTCTCCTCTTTCAGGTTTTCAATATTCCTCAGAGCTTGGAAAGTTTATTATTTGGGACTCTGAAACTGACCCATCCACCATGGTCAACTTTTGGAGTTGACGTCCAAAAAAATAGATGTTTTCAAGTTGTTTTCAAGTTGATCCTAAATAATAGCTGAAAACTGAGCAGTGAGATCCTTCATTGCTTCAATATAGGGTAACTAGCAGTCAACAAAACTATATTACACAGTCCTTGCACTGAGTACCATTGTAGCTCAATGTATGTCGAGCAGTGGTCAATAGAAATGACAGACAAAATCTGGCTACCAGTATTAAAAAACTCTAAAATTACAACAGCAAAACAACAGAGAGGAAACAATCAGGGATAGCCAATAATCTCTCAACAAAAGATTCCCCCAGGCACTAACAAGCCACACCAAAAAAACTGCCAGGCCATCAAATGCTAATCAAGGTGGTCAGTTGAAACATTCAAACCTAGCTCCAGCAGACAAGAGTTCTTTGTCCCACCCTGGTCATTCCACAGATATATAAACCCAATTTTTCCTAGTTCCAACAGACCTCACTACCTCTAAGGATGCTTGCTGTAGATGCAGGCGAAACGTCAGGAGAGAATGCCTCTAGAACATGGCCATATAGCCCGAAAAAACCTACAACAACCTATAAATGACAGACAGCTCATTCACATGCTACTGTGTATATCTGAGTGCATTATACTTTGCAAAACTGTTTCAAAGGTCCAACTGCACTACACCACTATGCATTGTGCAACTTATATCTATGTATGAAACTTGCAGGATTGGAAAAAATCCTGGGGTGTGTGTGTGTGTGTGTGTATTTCTAGCTATTTCTATGTTCAGGCATGCCTTAAATAAGACATCCCCCAATGAAGCAGCTACTTTTCATATCCATCCAGGTCTACCCCCTTTCTCCTAGTCCTTTATCTAGCTGAAAGGGTTGTTTTAAAAGCACTGGCTTTGGGCGAATGGTGAAGGACAGGAAAAGCACAGACTTCTGGAGCTGAATTGCAATGAATGCAATAAAGCTTAATCTGGGAAAATATATTCTATTCTAGCTGATCCTACTGTAAACTCTGTATACCTTCCAGTAACAGGCTAAGTAAACAGTAACTGATCCTACTGTAGTTGCATGTGCCTGTTTATGACAGGAAAGGTAAACAGCAGCTGCCCCCAGCATCTCTTAATGAACATGTGTGAGCAGCAATACAAAGAAAAGGAGAAAGCATATCAACTTGCCTACCAAACTATTCCCATCATGTTTTTTTTAAAGCACCAATTCTCAAACTGCTCCTCAAGATGTTTTGGACTTCATCTCCCACAATTCCTAACAGCTGGTAAACTGGCTAGGATTTCTGGAAACTGAAGTCCAAAACACTTGGAGGAGCAGAGTTTGAGAAACACGGTTTTAAAGCATAGAACTATATGTTTGGCCACAAAAATGGACTTTACTACAAAAGTCAAAGCTGGTGCAGAAAAATAAGAATAATGTGGATGTGCTTTAGAAGTCTTCAAGTGGTCTTCAGAAAATTCCAATTTTGCTTTTGTTTACGTTGCAAGGTTTACCTACATGATCTTGCTTGTTTCATTTCGCATATGGACATTCTTAGTTATGACTAAAAGGTTTGCTGAAATACAATAGGTTGAAATGTTCTTGGCTTGTTATGTGTGATATAGATGACTGCTTCTTAAACTATGGGTTCCCTTTAGCTCAATGTTGTGGGTCTGGAAAAATTTGGCAACAGTAAAAAATATCTGAACTTCAATTTGTGGCTGTTTCACATGAATCTGTTGTGTAGTGTTTACAGTAGACACTGTAGAAGATGCTTCAGCTGTAATTCATGAGCCCCCGGTGGTGCAGTGGATTAAAGCCTTATGCCAGCAGGACTGAAGATTGACAGGTCGGAAGGGAAAGCATGGATGAGCTCCCTCTGTCAGCTCCAGCTCCCTATGTGGGGACATAAGAGAAGTCTCCCAGAAGGATGGTAAAACATCAAAACATCCAGGTGTTCCCTGGGCAATGTCCTTGCAGAGGGCCAATTCTCTCACACCAGAAGAGAAGCCTTGATATAGAAAGCCCTTCCTATTCCTTGCATGTTGTTTCTTCCTCAGGTATCAACCTTTATGTTAGATCACTTATCAAAGACCCATAGAGGTGGGAGACCCTCCAAGGACCCTCCAGTCCAACTGTATTCTGCCATGCAGGAATATACAACTAAAGGTCTCCTAACAGAATAATAATAATAATAATAATAATAATAATAATAATGCCCTGCTTATCTCTTCCGCAGGAGACTTAAAGCGGCTTAAGATGGCCATTCATCTTCTGTTTAAAATATTCCAAAAAAGGAGACTCCATCATGCTCCAAGGCAGCATATTCCACTCCTGAAAAACTCCTACCACTAGGAAGTTCTTCCTAATGTTT